GTTTTCCATCTCCAAATCCCCAAAAGACCCACCAAACTATCTTCTTCCTCAACTCAAAGAGAAGAAATAACATAAGAAGAGGCCCCCCCTTTGTGGTTTCGATCTAATTTACCAAAAGATCTAACATCTAGTCAAGTACCCGTTATTCCAATGGCCCCAAAGAGACCAATTTTGACTTAAAAAGGATTCGAAATAGCGACAAAGTGGAGCCCTGCTCTGTACTTTACTACTTAAGAAACCCTCTGCAGTGGAAGAAAAAAAACACCTCCAAACTGTACCAAGCAGAAGCGGCAGAAAAATCCCGTCTTTCGTTCGTTTCGTCCTCCAAGTAAAACCAAAAAGATCAGAGAGCCAATTGGAACAGAGAGAGTAGCAAAGAGAAAGGGAGAGCCAGAGATAGCGAAAGGTACGGAAGAGGGAGGAAATTAAAGAAAAAATGGAGACCGGGGGACTGGTAATTCCGGTGGCTAATTGCCTAAAGAAAGGTGACAAAAGGAGAAAACCGCGTGGCGTCTGTTCTGTTCATTATTATTTTCTCAATTTGTTGGATCGTTTTGTAAATTGGCGGTTGGCCAATTGCTATTTTGCTATTTGACGCACGATCTTGATTCGAGAGGGCAGTCTGAAATCTGAATAACGCTTTTTGCGACAAGTGGCCAAACGGCAAACTGAGAGAGGGGGTGTGGAGGGAGTGGCCCATCTGACGTGGCTGCCACTCTTCCGCATTAATTGCATAAGAATGGATTTTTTTTCCAAAAATGAATCATTATTATTAAATAAATTTTGAAAATAACGGTAGTGAACAATTATTTGTCAAAATTTAGGCAATCAGAGAGAGTGAGTGTGTTTGTCAGAGAGTTCATTTTAAAAGAATTCAATATTAAAAGTGTAAATATTTTTTATAATTTAATAATGATATATTAATAAATATTTTAAACAAAAATACTATTTTCTTATCATATTATACAACAAAATACAACTAAGAAAATTATATAAAAACACAAATACTTCTCTCCTATATAAATTATAATTATGCTTTTCATTTCTATAATTTGTTTCTTTCACAACTCAAATATATTTAATCTCTTTTGTCTTTCTTAAAATTCGATTGAAAACTTAGAAAGAATGGGTTAATTGCATGATTGGTCACTGAGATTACAAAAAACGTTCATATTTGGTCACTTGAAACATTTAAATCCATTGGTGGTACTTAAGTTTACTGAAATCGTTCATGTTTGGTCACTCTCCGTAAGTCGCCATCCATCTCCGCTAACATAGTACGTTAAGTGATGACGTAGCGGACGAAATCGTCTAATCAGCCTTATTTAACACGAAAATAGTGCGACACGACCCGTCACATCACTGAAACCCGTCATGTCATCTTGACCAACCCAACCCCTAATCAGACTAGACCCAACCCGACTCTTAAACTAAACTACCCACACAAATTAAATCCCTAATTTCTAAAACAGATCTTCACCTTCCCCTTCTCCATCATGCGTCGTATTCCTTCCTACTAACTTTCTTCCTCTTCCCCTCTTTTCGATACTTCACTGACGACGAAGGAGAGATGGAGCTGAGTTCAATGGAAGACCAAAACCTCGTTCATGCCTTGCACATAACCAATAGTTGGGTTCACTTTTGCAAACAACTGAAGAACTTCCCTCATTGCTCCCTGCACAAAATCAAGACTTCCTCGCAAATGGTAAAACACCATAAAGTCGGACAACAGATAACCGGGTCAGGAGCAAGAAAAAACACACACCCTGTTCTTCGTACTCAATGATGAATCTCCTAAGAAGAAGTTCAAGTCAAGATGAGTTCGATCCACATCTCGATCGATCTGTTCAACAATCTCTCCATGCTTCTAACAAACAAATTTTCAAACAATCCCCCCCCCCCCCCCCCCCCCCCCAAGCTCGCTTGGAGCGTCCGCCTTCTCACTGGAAATCCAAGAGATACAGCTGGGCAGTTGAAGCTTGAAGTTACAGGACTTTGGAGCAGTATTGGATTGATTCGCCAAAATTGTCCACTTGGGCCTCCATGACCATCCAACGAGAACGCCCACAAGTACCGCAATCCAGAGGGGAGCTACCAGTAGGGAGAGCTCGGCCATGACAGCAAGAGGGTTGGGCCTCTAGATAATGCCGAGCAATATAGGCCACAAAGCCATCGGAGGGGGGCAAAGAGGGATAAGTGATGTTGGATGAAACTTGAGGCAAAAACAGAAAGGGAACCCTCGATTGAAAAGGGTTTAGAGAGCAACCAGTTGAGGGTTCCGAAAGGAAGAAGAAGTGAAAGAAGCATCCCTCAAACCTAAAAGCAGAGGAATCCTCCTCACTGTTAAAATTTATCCAAGCGAGCTTTCATTGAACCCAACTCCATCTCTCCTTCGACGTCCCTTCGTTGCCGGTGAAGTATCGAACAAAGGGGAAGAGGAAGAAAATCGGGAGGAAGGAGCACGATCGAGAAGGGGAAGGTGGAGATCTGGTTTAGAAATTAGGGTTTAATTTTTGTGGGTAGTGTAGTTTAAGGGTTGGGTCTGGTCTGGATGACATGACAGGTTTTATTTACGTGGCGGGTCGGGTCGCACTATTTTCGGGTTAAAGAGGGTTGATTAAACGATTTCGTTCGCCACATCATCACTTAACGGACTCTGTTAAGGGCGATGGACGACGACTAACGGAGAATGATCAAACGTGAACGGTTACAATAAACTTAAGTACCACCAATAAATTTAAATATTTAGAGTGACCAAACATGAACGTTTTTTGCAATCTCAATGACCAATCATGCAATTAACCTAGATAGAATTAAGTTAAGAATGATATCAATTGGGAAAGTGTAAATATTGAAAAGAAAAAGTTGCTCAAGGAGTTTTTTTTTGTATTGTTAGTGATTTGTATTTGTTGTTTGGCCATGCCCTGGGGGCTTATCTTGGATAAAAAAAAAAAAATTGTTACTATAGAACAGAAATGGAAATAGCCTATGGGAATAAAGAAAATATCATTACTGATTGTATGCGGGTCAACTTCTCATATGGGCTTACAAAATTATAGCCAACAATTAAAGTTGCAACACAACGATAGAGAGTAACCTCTGTTCTTCTTCTAGAACCCAGAAAACAGAGACCGCTTCGCACTTTACCATCTTCTGGATCCCCCGTCGTCGCTATCATATCGTCGCCATGAACAACATAAATCATAATCGCAATGAAGTTTCCGCTGTGAACCCCAGAGAACTAGAGGAATCGATCACAATTTCGATCTTTGTTTTCAAGTTCACCAAAACAAAGTAGCGGCAAGAAAACCCGGGGAAATTAGAACATGTAGGATCGTGTTTCATAGAATGTGTCGTCTTTCTAACACATCCGTACAGTGTGAAATTTCTAACCAGTAATACAAACTCTATTTGATTATATTAAATGCAAATTTAATTAGATAAACTCCATCAATTTTATTAATTACTATAACAAAATTGTAAGGTCGCTCATAGATAGGGGTGTAAGTTTGACCCTTAAAATCCACTGACCCGCCCCGACCCTCAGGGTCGGGCTGGGTCAGTTTGTCTATAGGGTCAATTTAGGGTCGGGTCAGCTTAGGGTCAGGTCAGGGTCAGATAGGGTCGGGTCACTTTTTGACCCTATGACCCTTAGAATCATACAAACATGTTGGACCTATTTGTAAAATTTTATAAGTTTAGGTACTAAATTGTAAAAATTAAAAAATTTGGGTACCAAAACGTAATTTTACCATCAAATTTTAGGGACTTATTTGTAAAAAATAAAATTTAGGTACTAAAATGTAAGAAAAATAAATTTGGGTACCAAATTGTAATTTTTAGAAAAGTAGTCTATCCATTAGGGTCGACTCACTGACCCGACCCTTCCTGACCCGCCCTGACCCTAAAGGGTCAGACAGGGTCGGGGCGGGTCAGTTATACATCTTGACCTTTCAGGAGCGGGTCAGACAGGGTCAGGGACGGGTCAGCCCAATTTTCAGCGCTACTCATAGACAACAACGACTAACTAAAAGTGTAAACAGCTCAGCACCGGCTGGGAGTTCATCGCTAGGCTTGGCTAGGCTGGGTTTGGCCTATGAATTCCTCGGCCCAAGTGTTTTATTTCTCAAGCGGGCAGTGTGAAGGGCCGGATACAACAAAGGGTATTCTATAAATGGGCCTGGTGAGATGAGGCCTCCCAGAAGCTACTTATGGGAACATGTTGCTGAACAATAATCCTTCAACCCTCAATTGGCAAAGAACCAAAAATCACAGCCAATCAAATAGAATGTGTATTACTAGCCACCCACTCACCAAAGGTATCCAACTGCCACCGGAAAAAAACGAGCAAAGATTTCCCCTTAAGTCCAGTTTTGATTGTTCTAGGGTAATAGATTAATTTGGAGTTGGAATACCAGAGAATACGTTTTACATCTTTTGAAGGTTAGTTAGTCAATTAGTGGTTTATCGATAAATTCAGCAATAATCAATGGTTATATGTCGATAACCGATTATAAGTTAGCGATACGGTTATTAGTAGTCTGTAATGACTTCCCATGTAACCGAGTATCGAATAGCAGGTTAACTGTGAACCAACAACTAACCGAATATATGTCTATATTTTCCCCCCCCCCCCCCACAAAAAAAAACGACTATCGTCTTTCTCCTCAATTTCCTTCCAGTGTAAACCTAAAAAGTGAAAGAGGAAAAGAGCACCGTCGAAATTTCGATTCAAATGTAGGCATCAACATTGGATTGGGAAGATCAAATGACTTATGTTGGAGGAATGATGGCAAATTCTGTGCCCCGTTTTCTTCCCTCATCGAGTTTGCACTCGTCACTCTTATCCTTCCTCTCTTCTCTTTCTTCTTTCTGTTGGTTCAGTTATTAATGGGTTATTTTTCGAAAGTTATTTTCAAATCACTTGCTAAATAATTAGTAAATTAACCAACATAATAATTGATAATCGAATATACAATTACGGCTACCGAGAAATATGAACAATACGCTTAGTGTGACAAGCAAAAGTTGTTTAAGGATTAATCGATAACTCAATAAACGGTTAGAGTTAGAACTTAGAACCAAACCGAGTAAAAATACTTCGCAAGCACCTCGTTAAACAACGAGTTTCTGGCTTGTCCTTGAAGCTAACGTCGACCAGAAAAGAAAAGAAAAGAAACCCCCAAAAACATCGTTGACTGGTACGCACTTTTACAACAACAGCTCTCTCTCTCCCAATTCGCGTTATAGGGTTTTTCTTAAACCCTCCCACAAAATCCCCTCCTCCCCTCCCCGATTCCGTTTCGCCGGCCGCCGCCATGAGCAAGGGACCAGGTCTCTTCTCCGACTTCGGCAAGAAGGCCAAAGGTACGCACACATCATCCATTTCCCTCCCGCTTCCTCTCTACCTCTCGCTGTTTGCTGCGGCGCCTGACGCTTCCTTCGATCCCATCTTTTCCTTTGCAGATTTGCTCACCAGAGATTATCTCTCCGACCAGAAGATTTCCATCTCTACTTTCACTCAATCTGGAGTGGTAAGTTCCTTTTATCCCTTCCCCCACTCCTTTTGCTCTACTCGACTCTTTATGATTTATACTTAAAGCTCAGCCGATTGGATCTGAGATTTTTCCAGTTCCTTTCGGTTTTGACTGCTCTAGGATACACTCAGCTTCTTGGTGGTAGTCTGTGGATTGGATACAAGGGGCTTCTGATTAAGTAATTATGCTGCTGACTTTTCTGAATCGTTATCTTTGTTGCTAACAATGGAAGCTGAAGCTGGTATAAGTTGTAGACTCTATATTGGGTTTGGTATGGCTTAGGGTTAGTAATTAGTAAGGCGAGCCTGGTGCTTTTTTTTTTGCCCCATTTTGGGTAGTAATTGAACTGGTTGCTGCTCGTGTTCTCATGGCGGCAATGTCATAGTGGGTTCTGCTTTCTATGAGCTAGTTGCACTTCGGGTAGTAGACAGTGGACAGGATTAATGTGTATTATTCAATTCTTTTGCTACTCAATGCAGCAGAGTTCCTGGCTTAATTGATCATAGCCAGTCCACCACAGGATGTTATTATGTATCTTGAGGTTTGATGTTATAGACAACGTCTGCTTTCTATGATCTTGAGCAAATGGTTTCTCTAGAGCATGCCCCTTGGTAGTTAGTTTTAAGATTTTATTGTTCTAGGAGATCCACTCTGTGCAGTTTAGCTTCATTTTTCCGAAGCCTTAAGAGGTTAGCAGTTTGCATTTTGGGATTAATAGTTCTTCTTGTCAATTTCAGGCTCTTACCTCCAATGTTGTTGAGAAAGGAGGCCTTTCTTCAGGGGATGTGGCAGCTGAATACAAGCACAAGAATGCTACCATTGGCTTCAAAGTCGACACCGAGTCTAATGTAGGTGCTCTACCCCATTTTCATGTTTACACCTTTAGTTCAAACCCTCTGGTATGTCTAATGTTGAGTCATTGATCAGGTGACAACAACTGTTAGTGTTACCGACTATCCATCATCCACCAAATCCATTGCTTCAGTAAAATTGCCTGATTTCAACTCTGGAAAGGTATTGATTCTTATGCAAGGATGTGGTAGCTTTTTATTTGACGGGGTTTGGTAGGGTTGTAATTCAGCATTTGCTACTTCTTGTCTCCCCAGTTGGAAGTCCAGTATAACCATCATCATGCTGGTGTCACTGCTGCTCTTGGCCTGAATAAATCTCCATCTGTTGATTTTTCTGCAACTGTTGGTACTCCCACCATTGCATTTGGTGCAGAGGCTAGCTACCTGACTTCTACAGGTGACTTTTCCAAGTATAATGCCGGTGTCAGACTCACTAGGCCAGATTCCAATGCTTCCGCTATCTTGTAAGTTCTTTATACTGCTTTTTTACGCATTGCTTAAGCACGGAACACAATGCATATTTGGAAATTGAAGCAATTTGAGCAATCAAACTGTACACTCTTAATGACAAATGAGTCCATCTAACCCAGAGCCATTTGATCCAACTCTGTTGTGTTGGTGGACAAATGAGTTGGGTTGATGGGTTTCAGCAAATTTAAGTATCTGAACTTACCTTTCATTGATTTTGAGTACCTTAACATTTGTGTACTAAGGAAAATTGTTTCGAAACTACAAAGCACTAGGTAAAACGTTTTTTAGCATCCCATTTTGCTGCCTAAACTTTCATAATTTATTCAACTGGTCTCGAAATTAACAGTCTTATTTCATTGTTTACTCCGCGCTGCAGGGCTGACAAAGGAGATTCCATAAGGGTATCCTACTTGCATCATCTGGAGCAGCTGAATGGGGGTGCAGTTGTGGCAGAGATCAGCAGGCGGTTCTCGACCAACGAGAACACATTAACTGTTGGATGTTCGTATGTGGTTGACTCTACTACATTATTGAAAGCAAAGCTGAACAATCACGGTGATCTCGGCGCTCTTCTCCAGCATGAGATCAAGGCCAAGTCGTTTTTGACGGTGTCTGGGTCATTCAACACTAAAGCTTTCCAGAAGACTCCCAAGTTCGGGGCTGGCCTGTCCCTGAAGCCTTGATTGTTACCTATTCAAGATTTTTATTCAATGACGACAACGCAAATTGGGTTCGTTGTTCGAAATCCATATATATTCTGACGATCAAAGCAAGCATCCTTAACTTTCTGATATATGACATTTTTACAGCAAAGTTTCGGTACATTTGTTAGTTCTGTTGGTCCAAATGATGGAAAAATGCGAATTACTGGCTTGTCGAAATATTACTGCTCCTCTGAATGTGCTATTCGTTTGAAAGCTTGTGGATTTGCATCTGTTGTTTCTCCTATCTTTTATCAGTTTTTGCATTGAGCTGTAGTTTTCTTTCATTACAGTTTTCTAGTCTTGGCCATGAAGGGATTCATATACAGAGGTGGAATTGGATGAATCTTGTAGGATGAGGATTTTGTACAGAACACGGTCTCAGTTTCAATAGCCTTCAGCGTTCATACTACATACACAGATCGAATAAGATCCCGCAGGATTACGAATATCTACAATGCTCACCCTAACTGCACTAAGTCAATAATCAGAGAATCACCTAGCCAAAATCATAAAAGAAAGAAAGAGCTTTTGATGGAGGCAACCAAATTCCTTTTACCACTTGTTTTTTTTTTATTTTTTTGGCAAAAGACATTACGGAACGGAAAAATACTCCTTATTTCCACCGAGTTGCCTTGAACAATAGGAGAAGAAATACTTTTCAGCATATAAAGGTGAACGAAGCAGCTACGTGTGAAAAAGAAGAGCTCCAAGGTGCTTTTGTTCATCACTTTTGAGTGTAGATTTCGGGAAACCAGCAGTAACCGACCTTTCCCTTGTGGTTACAGAGCTGATCTGGTCTCTGGTGACGATAATTTCAGTTTGACAAAACCTTTCACCTTAGACGAGATTTGGAGAGCCATCTCGGACTGCTGGGGAGATAAGGCGCCTGGCCCCGATGGCTTCACGTTAGAATTCTACAAGAAAGGGTGGGATATCATAAAGACTGACCTTTTGAAAGCCTTTGATCACTTCTTCCTCACCGGTGAATTGTCTAACTCGGTGGCACACTCGTTCATTTGCTTGATTCCCAAAAAGGAAGCGGTTGAAGAGGTGAAGGATTTTAGGCCAATCAGCCTAATCGGCAGCCTTAATAAAATCATCTACAAGGTCCTTTTTTCCAGATTGAGACCGCACCTCAAGTCTTGGATTTCTATTTATCAATTCCCTGGTGTCAGGGGTAGGCAAAGTCATCAAGCCAGTTTTATCGCCAATGAAGTTATTTATGGGTCCCATCTTGAAGTTAGATATCGAAAAAGCTTTCGACTCGGTCAATTGAAGCCGCTTGTTTAGAATTATTGATTCCATGGGATTTAATAACAGATTTCAGAAGTGGGTTAAAGGTATTGTCTCTCCGTCTAAGCTGTCGGTTCTTGTGAATGGGGAAGCAGCTGGTTTTTTGGGAATGGAAAGGGGTTTGAAGTAAGGGGACTCATTGTCCCCCTTCCTGTTCAATTTGGTGATGGATATCCTCGCGTTTATGCTTGAGGAAGCAAATTCCGAGGGTCTCTTATCAGGCTTTTGCATGGACGAGGTGAATCGTAGGGGTGAAGTGTCACATATCTTGTATGCTGATGATGCCATCATATTTTGTGACGCCTCTGAGAGCGAAGTCACGAACTTGCTTGCAGTCTTGCTTTGCTTTCAACAAGTTTCGGGACTTAAATTAATCTTGAGAAAAGTAATCTTTTTCCTGTTGGAAATGTTCATCAGTTGGAGAGATTGGCATATCTTCTCCGTTGTGATTGGAAGTTCCTCCCTTCCACTTACTTGGGGCTTCCTTTGGGCGCTTTGCATCTTGTTAGCAGCAGTTGGAACCCACTTATTAATAGGATACAACTCAAATTGGAAGGCTGGAAAGGGAGTCTTTTGTCTTTCGGTGGCAGGATCGTTCTCACCAAAGTCTGCCTTGCTAGCTTTCCTACCTACATGTGCTCCCTTTTCCTTGCATCCCTTCATGTGATCAAGGCAATCGAGAGAATCCAATGCTCCTTCATTTGGTCCGGGAATAATGATCAAAAGAAGTTCCACCTGGTTTCATGGGATCATTGTAAAAGGTCGAGGGAGTTGGGAGGCTTGGGTATTCCTGATCTTCGCAGACATAACATCGCGTTGCTGTCTAAGTGGTGGTGGAAATTCGCTAAGGAAGAGAGCTGGTGGAAGAGGCTTATGAAAGATAAATATCCGAATGAAGACTCTAATTGGTGTCCGGGTAAGCCCTTCAACTCGGCTGGCTGCAGTCCTTGGAGTCAAATTTACAAGGTGAAGGATGAGTTCTGGAAGTATGCTGTCATTAGCCCCGGAATCACTGGTGAAGGGATTTCCTTTTGGAAGGACCGGTGGATTAAAGAAATCACCCTTGCTGACTGCTTTCCTCGAGTTGTAGCTGCTGCTGTAAACCCCCGCGCAAGACTTCCTGATATCCTTTTGAGTGTTAATGATAGTATGGCATTTGATATTCCACTTAAATATCAACTGAGGGGTGGGGCAGAAAGGGAAAGGGGGAGTTTGTTTAATCTAATTGCAGGCCAATGCTCTATTTTTTCAGCAGGGGATGACAAGATAACTTGGCTGCTTAATTCCGAGCAGAATTTCTCCGTTCATAGTATGTACCAGCGACTTACTAGGATGCTTATTCGGGTTTGGCAGCAGGTCTAGAAGTTTCAGATTTCCCTCACAAGGTCATCTGGCAGTCGCATATACCGTCCAAAATCTGCTTATTCGTGTGGTTGGCATATCAACAGAAAATTCTCACTCAAGATGCACTCAAGCGCAGAGGTTGGAGCTTGCCGAACAGGTGCCCTCTTTGCTCGTCGAATGAAGTAGATGTGAGCCACATGTTCTTATTTTGTAGCTTCACATCTCAAGTGTGGGGAGTCATCAAGAGATTCGTCCCGATTCGTGGTCAGCACCTTCAGGGAGACATTGCTCAAGTTATCAGAAGTTGGTCGTATAAAAAACCTCAGGAGCCGAAAGAGTGGTGCACTATATCTCTACTTCATGATGTGTTGTGGTGTGTGTGGCGAGAAAGAAACTATATGATTTTTGAGGACAGGCGGACAACACCACACGTCGTTGCCCTTTCGATTGGAAGGCTTATTGCAGCGTGGCTCATGGCGGCTGGTAAGATCGATAGGCAGATTGGTGAAACTTGGTTAGAGAATCTTAGAGTGGCTCTTACTTCATCTGGCCTTCCTTGGTCGCAAGTGAATCTGATTGGTAGTTGCTGAGTTTGCTTTTCAACCTCTCCTTTGTAGCTGCTGATTATTTGTCATTGTTCTGATGGTGGCAGTTCTTGCTTTTGCAGCCTCTTGCCTACTGTTTTGGCTTTTGGCTTTCTCTGTACTTGTCCCACTGATTTATTTCTTTCTTAATTAATGAATTACACCATTACAAAAAAAAGCCAGATACGAATAAGTACATAACCGGAACCGACCTAATTAAAAAAATTAATGCGCGCTGGTGAACAGATGTTGAACCACCTAGAGCGAACCTTTTTTGCCATGATATGGGCAGCCCTTGGTACCTTAATGACATGAACAATATCATGATTTCTTCCTTTAAAAGAATAAAAATCACGAAGTAGTCATCCTGAAAATTGAAATAGGGAAGCAAACCCTTGTAAACCTGGCAACCGTTCAACATAAAAGCCCGTAAAACCTCCACTGGAGTCTGGATATACCGTTAATCCTGCAAATAAAAAGAATAAAAAACAAACAAACAGGCAAGAGCCAACTGGACCCATGTGGCCTCCCACCTCTATCGTTGACACTAATACTTGATCGGCCTGAAGCTCTCTCGACTACCCGCTAGTTGTTGTGCCAAAGCAACAGTATCATTTCACTCCTTAGCAGCTTCACCCTGAAGATGTGAACGGCCTAGGTTCCTGTGCTTAAATCCAAGAACTTAAGCACATGCTTAAAGCAATTCTATTGGTTGTTAAAAAATTAGGTGGTTAATGTGAAGTTAGAACTACTAACTTAGTCCTCCAATCAATATATGGAGGTTCTCCGTAGCACCCCACTCCATTCCCTTTTTCCTACTCTCTACGCAGAATAAGGAAGGATGCTTTGGTCTTTTCGCAATTTAGTAAAGTAGGAGATGTGAGACATCTAGGTTATTTGTGGGCTTTAATGCATGTACTTTGTTTTTAGGGCTTTGTTCATCTCTTCATTAACGATTAATTGATGGTGGCAACACCAATTGAATTCATGTCAATAAGGCCCACAAAGCACCATACATTATTAGGATTGGATAGTTAATCTAATTGTGAAAATATAATTATATGGGGCGGATAGGGTACAAAACTCATGCCTGCAAAATCATGTACACTTCTGGTCGTACAATCGTATTATGATACGTTGATACGATGAGTAGTGGTTTTGCAGTAGTGAATTTTGTATCATATCTCTTCCCTTATTATAATGAGTTTCAGCAGATGAATATAAAATCATATTGGGAGATCCAATAGGACTAGGATCGAGTCGGGACCTACCATTAGCGAGAGGTTTATAATTGATTATATCTCTATTTTTAACTCATATTTCAATTTTTCATATACTGAAAAATCAAATTGGTTGGACTTTTCAAGATGATATTCATTTTGATATATTTTCAAAAGAAGTAAATGTTGCTCTAAGAGAATTGAACCTACGTGTAATTCATTAATTTATTTATTTTTAATCTATATGTGATTAAGTTTTGTGTAGCGGCTGAGATTGCTTAATTTGTTCATTTTTATAGAATATTGTATACCAGATGACTAAGAGCATACAAATCAATGTAATTATAAAAGCAATTTCATTCTCTTTATTGTCAAATCAATTTTTTTTTGCAATACACCTCACATTCCTTTCATTCACCTAAATCAATACTATTAACTTGCAATTGCATGTGTAATTAAATATCATGTAAAAGTTATTCAATGAAAAGGCATGCAATTAACTTGCCAGCTCTTTTTTTTTTTTTTTTGCAATACACCTCACATTCCTTTCATTCACCTAAATCAATACAATTAACTTGCAATTGCATGTGTAATTAAATATTATGTAAAATTTATTCCATGAAAAGGCATGCAATTAACTTGCCAACTCAATTTTTTTTTGCAATACACCTCACATTCCTTTCATTCACCTAAATTAATATAATTAACTTGCAATTACATGTGTAATTAAATATTATGTAAAAGTTATTCCATGAAAGGCATGCAATTATATCATATGAACAAAGTTCCATATGGTTTTGCAACAATAACCAAATATGTTTAGCACGGTCTAACAAATAACAGTACACTTTCGATCCTTTAGGTAAGAATGTAAAGCATTTTTCTATGTGTAGTAAGTAAATAAATAAATGTACACTTTTTGAGGATTTCAAAGTTACTTGGGGAAAAATCAATCATAGATTGATTTCGAAAAAAAGTGTTTATTAATTTCAAATAATCTATTGATGTCCAAATATGTGATAATACCAACTTATAGGTATAATTTTTATTTTAAAATTACCTGATTTTGTTAAAGTTCCGAGTCTCAATTCAGGTACAGAAAATGCATTGTAAAAATAACTTTGTGAACCACAACCATTACCCAATTGAATAAAATTCTTGCCAAAGCTATTAATGTTATGTTCATCTTGGCCATTGCATTCCTCTGTCTCCGAAACATACACACATTTTTTATTTTATTAGTTTATTACTTGAGATGTTAATATTCTTTACTGGTGATTGACCAATTTTGTGAGTGAAAATTTATTATCTTGAATTGAAGCTACGTGCTACGTCCTAATCTTGATATTCTCGAAGTAATTGAATTTCACTTATAGTAACATTCTTTTTTTTTATAAGGGTCACTTATAAGTTATAGTAACATTCTTATACATTGAAAAATCTTTCTTATTATGTTGAAATTTAAAAATACATCTTGCATAGGGATGGCAATGGGTCGGATACGGTGCGGATACCCCATATCCGTTGCCCACAATATATGCCCACGGGTTTTACCCATCACCGACCCACTAAGCTTAATGGGCAGAGTTTAGATACCAAGCCCAAACCCAAGCGGGTTCCGGTGAGCCCGCGGGTCATGGCTTACCCGCAAAGATCAAACACAACCCA